GAACTTTTACGTGTGGATAATATAAAAATTTATTACATGCTGGTATATAATGCTGACAATTAGAGGTTGCAAAGTGGAGTCAGTCTGGAGGACTGACCCGCCTATATTTTTTTGTAATTAAATTAAAATTTTTCTCTTCTTATTTTATATTAAACATAATAACTCAAAAATTTGCCAACTCTATATGTACAAAAAGTTGGAGTTAGGTAGCTAAAAATATTTATTTAAATAAAATGCAGAGATATATTTTTATGATTTACATTAACTTTCACGAGACAGACAAACAGATTTCTTTTTTCCCGTGCATCGCACGAGTTATACTTAATTTTGAAGGAGTTTTTTTATGTAGGGTTCTGATTTGGAACATTATCCAGGAAAACTTAACGTTCTTAATGAAAATTCCATGTTATTTAAGGTCAACGTAAAAAAAATAATTTGGAGTCATATAATGAGCCAAGATATTAAATTTCAAGTGTTTGAAGCAACGAAGCTATTATCACCTCATTCTTTAAGTCTTTGGTGGACCCAAAAGTATGTTGTTGTTTTTTAAAAATTTATCATTGTGGGTTCTTTATATTGTTACAAGTTTTTAGCATGTGTATTGATTTGATGCTGTTTAGACACATTTGTTCCAATGTAAGCAAAAAATATGACTCATACATGATTATTTGGTTAATTTGCTTTCAAATCCCTTTCAGACAACGTTTTTTGGGTTCTAAAAAAAAATAACTCATTTTTTTTCCTGAGATTATTACTTCTGGGTGTTAACATATTAGCGTAATTTATTTAATGAGTATTTGCACTTTGTATCGTAGGCATAAATATGATGGTAGAAGAGGATGTCCCTGGTAATGCATAAACATAGGAAATCACATGTTTGATATGTGTTGAACTCATTCCTCCAATGATTGCTCCAGAATGACACTGAATTAATAGTGTTTTCTTATTATAGGTACAAGCTGATCTTTTAATTCCATATTTGCTTGATCTGTTTGTTACCTTGATTTTATTAGTGCTGTTATAGTTAGCAATAAGTTGTATGCATTTTTCTTTTTTTACCCATCCTCATTTTAACATAGTCTACTGTGGCGTATTTATTTTTTACATAACTCATCGAGTAGATAACTATATTTGATTTGCATAATATTGATCACTCTCGATAGCAGATTTTTGTTTATGATTGATATTTGCAAAGTTCTGTGTCAATGCTGTAATTTTTTCCACCTGAAATATAGAATAAGATAACAACACAGGTTTTTGTAAGTATAAGGTTTGCAGTGCGATTAACCAACCACGGCGGACGATAAATATTTTGTTCTTTTTCCCCTGGGCATCGCACGGGTAATTCACTAGATGTGTACAAATAATAGGAAAAATAGCTTTCACCAAAGGGGTGTTGTGTATGCACAGTGACAACATAACAATAAGAGAGATGAATCATATATGTAGATTTTATCTCTTATTTACAGGGTTTACCTGTAGGTATTGGAATTATGGACCTTTTGTGCCTCTTCTAGCAGTCCAAACTCATGTTTGATGTTGTTATATTAGGATTATTATCTTTAATTGATATTATCCTTTGATTATATTATATTCTTATTTGGGTTGCCCTTTATTGGGCCATATACTAAATGAGCCTCATATACGAGTCCATAAGAGTTGTCCCCAGGCCAAACAATCTGGATGTTCGGGCTGTTGGGGTGCATATAAGTTCATAATTTTGAAAATGATCCAGATTCTGAATTATTGAGGAATCTCGCTCTGCTGAGTCAGATTCTGAACGTCCTCCAGTTGTTTTAATATCCAAATACCCTTGGGTGACGTATGAAGTTTTGAACACTTTATCCAAGTTGAGTGTCTAGGACATAGCCGAGCTTTCTGTCAGCAACTTAGAAGATTATGCTATTATTCCTTCCAGCGAGAATGAGCTAGTTTGCTCTGGGAGTAAATCAGATGAACCTCTTTTTCTCTTCTTCTACCGAGATTTCATTACGAAAATCAGTCTTCGATTTCCACTACATGAGTTTCAAATTAACCTTATGAATCACCTCCATATTGCTCCTACTCAACTTCACCCTAATAGTTGGGGTTTTGTCAAAGCTTTTGAACGTTTTTGTGCATATTTAACCTTACCTTGTACTATTCCTCTTGTCAAATCATGTGGTTGTGGATTCGATTGCCACAGATGGCGCCAATGTACTATCCTAAAGACAGAGATGTCTAGCCCAATGGACTAGTGAGTTTCTTTTGGATCTAGGTGCTCTCGCTAAGATATCTATGAATAAGATATCTTTGAGTATAACAGATCACTGTGCATAAATAATAGGAAAACAACTTTCGTCAAATGGGTGTTGTGTGTACACAATGACAACATAACAATAAGAGAGAATGAATCATACCTGTAGGTTTTACCTCTTATTTATAGAGTTTACCTGCGGGTATTGGAATTATGGACCTTTTGCGTCTCTTCTAGTAGCCCAAACCCATGTTTGATTTTGTCGACCTGTCGTATTAGGATTAATATCTTTAATTGATATTATCCTTTGATTATATTAGATTCTTGAGTAAATACCCTTTTGGGTCCCTAATAAAAAACACGGTCCCCACTTTAGTCCCTTACAAAAATAAATTAGTCAGTTAGTCCCAAACAAATTTAAAGTGGACTCATTTTAGTCCTTTTGAGGGACTAATATGAGTCTTTTTTAAATTTGTGAGGGACCACAATTTTAACTAAATGGGTCTACTTTGAATTTGTTAGGGACTAACTGACTAATTTATTTTTGTAAGGGACTAAAGTGAGGACCGTATTTTTTGTTAGGGACCAAAAATGGTATTTTTCATATGTAGGAGAAATATTAATTCCATGAATTAATTTCTTTAATAAATTGTAATTAGTTTCTCATTAAATAATATTTTCATTATTTATAAAATTTGAAATTTACAAGTATTTATCAAGTCCTTAAGTTTTTCTTGAAATAAATTATTAATTTGGCAAAACAAATTTCTTACTCTAAGTCACGAGAAAAATTAATCTCATATGAGTACAATATTATTTGGAAAAAAAGATATCAATCTTTAGTTTATATGTATTAAAATAAAGAAATTAAAAGGCATTTCTAACTAAAGATATTAAGGTCTCTAATCCAGATTCTCTTATAAAAGAGTTTAATTAGAGAATCTCAAGTTCTAACCTGTGATTGTGAAAAATGGTTTGGTTGCTTGGAGCTGCTCCACTAATTTTTGGCAGAGAACCAGTTTATGATGTCTGTATTATGATCATAAATTGGAACACTAAAACAATTCTTAGCTATTGGAAAAAAATCATCAACAATATTTTAATCCCAAATTAATTGACGTTAACAATATTTTACATTACTTCAATTCTATACTAGTTGGGTTTATACATTATTTTAATTCAAAACTAGTTAGTGTTTTTCTTTGCAGCCCGAAATAGCAAATATCGGTGAAACAAACTCCAAAGGCACACCTGTGTGCGAAGCCAACACAAGCTCACAGGCTGAAAAGTTGAAAACTCTGTAAAAAAGAAAAAAGAAAAAGAAAAACAACCAAAATAAATAAATAAATTGAGATATAAAATTTAATTCTTTTTTTCCATTTCTCATTCTAATTGCCGAGCGAGGCTAACTTTGAAATACACTTATCGAAAGCATAACCAATAAGCTGAATTTGCATTCTCTTTGTCGAATCCAAAATTGAGAACTTGAGAAGCTTCACTTCAAGCCGAGAACAGTTCTTCATTTTGCATATCATCTTCAATAACAAGGGAAGCAGATTCTTCGAAATTGAGATTCGAATCCAAATGGGTTTCTACTTTGGGTTTGTGTTTGGGTTTGCTATCTATGCATGGGTTTCCATTTTGAGTTTGGGGTTGCTGGTTAAAGACAATGACTTTGAGAAACCCCAGTTTGAAATTCGCAATCAATTCCTTTGTTTCATGTTATTTGGTGAATCTGAAAACCTAATGCATATGGGGAAAATCACAAACCACTGGTACGAATTGGGAAAATTGGTACCTGGCAATGAAAGCTTGCTATTGAATCCATCAACATGCTTCCAACATTACATCCAACAACCAAGGCGACGGAACCAAACAACAACGTGAAATGGTAAAGCTGTTTCACTTTCGGAATTTTTTTTTTTTTACTGTAACTCAAATTTTTGAAATTAAATTTGGACAAATTATATATGGTTGATTTAAAGCAATGTCTAGTTTCTCTTAGTTTAACTAGATACTCATTTCACAATCCCCTCTCCCATCCATCATTTTCATTCCTTTTCCAATAAAAGATTACATTGGTGTTTATTCAGCTAGTTTCCTCAAGAAATAATCAGTTACTAAACAATTTTCAATGACATAATCAATGCAAGAAGCAGTAGCTTTATAGTTTATTGGAAAGTTTTTGGATGCCATTAAGGCGAGTTACTAACTTCTAGGCAATTTTTGTAGCAGTTCTTGTACTTGCTCAATCCAAAACAACTTTGGGCAGCTAGATATGCTAGAAGATATGAGATATGAGATATGACCAAAATTATATGTAGAAAATGTGTCTGAAAGGAATTCCTCTTTTTTCTGTCCTTCATTAATATATATACTTGTTTTTGGCAAACATGGTGGTAAGTTTAAAATGGGGATGCATTCCAATCAAATCGTAATTTGTGTTGTAGGCACTACTACTAAATATAGTATATGTTAAAAAAAGTGTCTGAAAATATTTCCTCTATTTTCTATCCCTTATCAATAAATAAGGGCCATATTCTATTCAAACTGTAATTAGTGTTACTCAGTTTGTACTTTATCAGATGAAGTGCTAAAACTCTGCATAAGATTTAAAATACTTAACCACAACTTCTTGTTGTGCATACCCGTTGCATTATCATATAGTAGAACATAAGAAATTGCATTTCACAAATTCTGTAAGCCTATCTAACATAGCAGGGAATGCAGCAGAGCAAAATGCTCTTTTTACATGGCGTAATAGTTTACAAATAATCACACAAGTTATTATTTTACTCTTATCTTAGACCGGGCAATAAATATACATATAATAGTATATGTACACAAGGAAGCTTACAATTAATGATGCATTAAACAATGTACGAGTGAAACACAATTGACGAGTGTTGAGTCAGCACAAATTAAGGCCAAATAAATTGCAGTTGTCATTTTGACTGGATTCATACTTTTTATAACACTATATGCTTTTATGGATTTTCCCAATACAATTTGCAATCATTCTAGAGAAATCTTATTTAACATGAAAGAAGAAGCCCTCTTCTATATAAAGACACTGAAGGCCTACCATTTCGTAGTACAATTGCCTTAGGGAATCCGCTTTCGACAAATTTCAGATTTCAGTCACTGCTAGCACTAAACACCTTGCCAGAGAAGACTAGTCTAAACTTGTTGCCCAGTGTTGCTTGACGCCGCAACATATTTGTTTCATTTTTAAAAGCGCTAGAAGAGAAGAGCACCTTCTCGGTCTCCTATGGTATTGATTTTCCCATTCTTATTAGCAAATATAACATGAATTCTTTCGTTGAGTTCAGATATTCACTGCAAATCATTTTAACTATTTCAAGCTGTGTTGGCATTTCATATATTTATAGATCACTTGCTTCTGTATTTACCACTGCTCAAACTTCAAAGGATCTATATAAATCTGCACATCAAGAACCTAGGGAAAAGATCTTATTCCCAAATTGAAGGTATGTTTTCTCCTCAAAAGCAATTTATGCTACGGTTGAGATTTTATGTGTTTGATGATTCTACTTCCCCTGTTGGGCGAAGTGTTAAGTCGCCTGAACAGAAACTTCATTTATGTATGCAGGAAGGTTCATGATTTGTTTTGTTTGATTGATGCACAAAATTTAAGAGCTGTTCTGGTATAGATTGTGCTGTCAAAACCTATTCGATTTTCAAATTTGCAAACTTTTGTTTAATTAAAGTTGATTGCTTGCTTATTTGTGTATTGGGTGTGATGTTTACTTGAATTTTCTCCTCTCTTGACCATTTATTTCCCTATTACTCTTTTTTTTTTTTTGGATAAACCATAGGTATCCTCCACGGGAGGCAATCTTCTCTCTTGACCATTTATTTCCCTATTACTCTTTTTTGTTTCTTCAGTTCATAAATTATTTTCTATTCAAAATTATTTTTGTATCTATTTCAAGCTGTGCTGGCATTTCATAGATTTATAGATCACTTGCTTCTGCACATACTAGTTAATTGCGCCGCGAGCCGCGCCGTATGCGAGTTGCAGTGCCTTCCTGCAAGAAGCCACGCCGCGCTGGAATGCAATAGTGGCCATTGTGGCAAAATTGTGGCCTAATTGCGGTCACAGGGCAAAATATGATTTTGCCCTTATTTTAAAATAACAGAAAAATTTTAAGGGTATTTTAGTCTATTTCGAGTTTTACCCTAACCCTCTCCCTCACTCCCTCTTTTGTTGTCGCACGAAACATCTCTCCCTTTCCTCTTTTTCTCTCGGGCGTCTGACCTTTCCTCTCTGCTCATCCTCTATTGCATTGTGCTTTGTGCCTTGCTCTCTACCTTGCTCGCTCTTTGCTCTGCCTTGCGCTCTCTCTCTCTCTCTCTCTCTCTCTCTCTCTCTCTCTCTCTCTTGTTTGCAGGTAAGCCCTTTGGCCTCTTTTTCTTTTTTTTAATAAATATTTCTTTGTGTTATAGACTCTCTGCCTTTTAAGCTATCTGCCTCTCTCTCTGTTACTTCTGCTATCTCTGCCTTTTAAAAAATGTTTCACAAAGAGTTATTTATGACAGTTATTATCTTTGTTTGATATACACCCTTCTTAGGTAGCTTATGACCAGATTGTACTGCTCACACATATGCCTGATACCTAGTGATTCCTGTTTGTTTTGGAACAATCCTTTTTGAGATGTTTTGGATTAGTTCAATTTTGGAATATTGGCAATATTTAGATTCTTTTAATTGACTATTTGGAAAAAACATTATGGTCCTTTGTAAATTTTATATAGAGGACTACACTACAAACAACTACATATTCATCAGATATGATTTTATGACATAAAATTCCTCTTATACTTCCTTAGAAATGGAGGATAAATCATGAAGTAAAGATTAACTGTTCTAATTAACATACTAGGTGCTGAAACTTTTCAAAAACTTTAGCAAAGGCAAGCTGTTGCTTCCTCATAATCAACACCAGGAATTTTGTTGGGCCTCTGCATGAACATTATAAGTCTCAATAAAACCTAGTTTCAAAATGGTAATGAAAGTGTGTGAAATTGTTTTTTATGCAAACATGATGGTTTTGCTGGTTTATGAGTATGGAAGTTCTTTCTAAGCTGTTTACTAATTCTGTCCCAGATATTTTGGCACATTGAATTGACACTATCAGAACAGAACTTTCAATGGCTAGAACCAAAAAAAAGACCTACTCACTTAGGAATCATGATGAAAAAGTAAGCTACCGAGAATTAAGCGATCCTGAAGGTGACTCATTAAGTTCTGATTCAGATAATTCAAGGTCCAGTCCTTCTAGACCATCAACAAGAAGAAAAACAACATTATGCAGTTCAAGAGAATTGGAGACAGAAATGGTAAAAAGTGTGGATTTATTTGCAAGAGGTGGACGGGGCCATGGACAAGGTGTTAAAACAAGATTGAGTTCCCAAAATGCAATTGAGACCGAAATAGCGGACTCAAGTGTGGATTTCGATGCAGGACGTCTACAAGGTCGTGGACGAGGTGGAAGGGGTCGTGGACGTGGTGGTGGACGAGGTGGAGGGGGTGGACAGGGTACACGGAGTTGCCTTTCTCAGAAGACGGCAACAAATGTAGAACAAAAAAAGGAAAGTAGTCATCCTGGACCCAGTTCAATAATGGAAAAAGGTCCATCATCACCGGCCACATCCATGAAAAGAGATTCACCTCAACCCAAACGGTCATGTAGAAAAACCATTTTGTCATGGTTGATAGATTGTCAACTTATTGATGAAGATGAGGAAGTATGCTATATGGGTTGCACAAAGGAAAGTGCACTTATGACAGGAAGAATTACCAGGGGTAGAATTCTCTGCAGCTGTTGCCAGAGGGAAACATCTGTGTGGACCTTTGAAAAGCATGCTGGAAGTAATCTAGGACAACCTTACCAGCATATTTACCTCCTTAGCAAAGGTACATCCCTCCAGGACTGCCAGATTGCTGCTTGGGAAGATGCCAACGAACGAAAACGCCGCTGTATCTATTCATATGTGCCAAAAGAAACTGTTGCAGACCACGATGATGATGCTTGTTCAATTTGCGGAAATGGGGGAGACTTAATATGTTGTGACAAGTGTCCCTCCGTATATCATCCATTGTGTATGAATATGGAGGTAATGAAATAGACTTTTACTTGGGTTTTTTTATGTTTCTATAGAAGCAGATATTCTGGTGTAAATATATCTGATGGTCTACATAATTATTGTGAATTCCTTCCTTTTAAACTGTAGAGAGTTCCCCGGAGGGATTGGTTATGTCCATATTGCATATGCAAATACTGTGGGCTTGGTGGAGAGATTAAGGAATTCATCACTTGCTCTCAATGCGACAAAAAGTGTAAGACTTCTCTCGGGATCCGTTTAGCCATTTTTGTTTTTTTTGTCTCTTCCTAATCTTGGGGGTGGGTTAAAGCTTTACAAACTGGCATGTTACAGCTCCCCCCAACCCAACCCAACCCCGATTTGTATGACATTATCCATTGATATTGCTGAAAGAGCCTTGTTCATGCTTTTGTAGTTCATTGGGGATGCTTTAAAGAATTTGAAAAAGAATTCTCGAAAGCAACCCTAGACCTTAACTGTTCAAGATTATATTGTGGGCCTGGTTGCAGAGAGGTACATATTCTTTCTCGATGATTTGTGCTTCAAACATGAAAATCAAATATTATATTTTGGAAGATATTATTTTTGTGTTTTTTTGTCACATTTAGAATTTTGACTATGTGTGCTTTGTGAAAGATCTATGAGAAAATGGAAGGCTCACTTGGAATAAAAAATGATGTCTTTGCGAGCTACTCTTGGAGAGTTATCCGCCACATGGATATGAACCCCAAGGTGGCTTCTGCTTCTAGGAACCTGCATTTAGAAAATAATTCTAAGGTTGCAGTTACTTGGATGTTAATGAAGGAAGCTGTTAAAACAATAACTGACCGACACACGGGCATCAATGTGGTTCAAAGTGTAGTTTACAGTTGTGGGTAAGCACATTGATGGTATTATTATTGCACATTGTTGCAGAACATAGTTTTCTCCATCTTAAAGCATGTAACTCACTACTGCTGCTGTCATCATTTTTTTTTTCATTCAAAACTTTCAAATTACTCTAATATTCTTCTACTTTTCATATAAGCATCAAGAATACAACCTTTTGATCAATTGCTGTCATTTAATGTTCAGATCAAACTTAACCAGGATTAATTTTAGCCGTTTTTATACATTTGTCCTGGAGAAAGATGACGAGATCATCGCTGCAGCTTCTATTAGGTATCCTTTGTTCGTTTGTTAATAATCTTTTCAACTTTTTGTTGTTGTTGAGTTTCTTCTGTAACTTTGGCAATGACCCTCGTGCTCAGATGCTCTCTGCCCTTGACATACAGATTTATAATTCTGTTGTGTTAACAAAGATTGTGATACATACTGTTATTGAATTGTTACTTCATGGCTCTATAGATTTCATGGGAGGAGGATTGCAGAAATGCCTTTTATTGCCATAGAAGAGGCATACAGGGGCCAAGGAATTTGTCAGGAATTAATGAGGGTAATTGAATCGGTAAGTAGTTAACAAATTCCCATGATCTCTTGTGGAGTGTCCATTCAACAATGTACAATCATGTGGGAGATTAGAGAAGGATCTTAAAACAACAACTCAAAATTTTCCCCTAGTTAATTTCCTATCGTTGCCATTCATAACAATATTCAATATACCTTGATAATTTCTCATGGTCATAACTACCTATTGCAGTTCCTATGCAATCTTAAAGTTGAATACTTGATCATTCCATCTGCTCCGGAGACTTCTGGGATGTGGAAGTGCAAGTTCAACTTCAAAGAGGTCAGCAAAGAGTTGATGAAAGAAATATCATCCAATAATATTTTGATGGTGGCGGATGCTTTAAGACTTTACAAGGACTTATCATCAACAAGAATAGCAGGTGAATCTCTCTTTCTCATTATCTTTCTCTCGTGCATGGAGTTCTATCTTTCTCATTTTTTTCTCTCCCTTTTACTGATGGTGGCAATGACCATGAAGACAATCAAACTGACAGTCAGAATAGGCCGGATCCACAGACGGAGCATGTGGATAGAACACCGGAACAACAAATGGAGCGGACAGAGAGACCGCTCCTAGATTTGAATGTCTCCCCTGATCGGGAAGATAAGTAGAATTACAGATGGTGAATGATAGGTCGATAATCATTGTGGCTGACTGAATGAAAACTATAACAGCCTCAAGTCAACCGGCCATTGTAGTTTATGTTGTCTGAGTGTTTCCTGATATTCAACCTTGATGGATTGTACTGAGGTTTCTATATTTTTTCTTTTGGTGTAGACATTTGAAGTGTGTATATATCTCTTAGATTGCTAAGTTAGGCCTAGTTTTGAACCAAGATTTATTTCGTTTAATCTAATCATCATTAATTTAAGGGTTCCCTTTTTGTCATTTGACATGACAAGAGCACTTTCCTACACACATAAATCAAGTGTGGGTCCCACGCTTAAAAAAAAAAAGTCAGACCAAAGTCAGGATACGACGCCGTATCCTTGTTGCAGGAATAAACAGTGCCATTCCTGCAACATGATTATTATATTTCCCTTAATTTAAAGCTATATTTCTCCAACTCTAGTATGAATAGTATTTTGTATCATCTCAAACACGTTGTCCTTCCTTTGTGCCAGCACCGGACAAGTTGGCATATGATGGATAATAATGCTTCAACGAGAAGTTAACAAGTAATCAGTAAATCCTAAACGGGTTTATGTTTTGCATTAAATTTCAAATAGAAGGAGAAACAATTTCACTTGCATAATCAATCACTGTTTATAGAAATGTGTTTAATTCAATTTAATTAGAAAAAATATTTATTTTTGGATATGTTATTAGAAAAAATAATAATCACAAGAGAGTCACACATGAGACACACGTCATGATATAAGTTGCTAGAGAATTGAGAACACTTTCCCAAAAGCAATTAAGTTAAGGAAAAATGTTTCTGCAGGTACTGAAGATAATTTATCTACATTTACTTCTAAAATAACGTCGTTTTGGGATTGAAATATTAAAAAATTATAATTATAAAGACTATAATAACTCTGAAACAAATTAAAATTACAAAAACACCATGATTTCTGCCTCAAAACAATGTCGTAAGATTGAAATATTAAAAAATTATAATTATAAAGACTATAATAATCCTGAAACAAATTAAAATTACAAAAACACCATAATTTCCGCCTCAAAACGACATCGTATTAGGCTTACTGCAGAAAAAGCGAACCCATTAAGTTATTAGGTTATGAATGTAATTTTGATTAAAAACTTAAGAGTAAATATCCTTTTTGGTTCTCAGCAAATTTCACGATGCCCTCTTTAGTCCCTAACAAATAAAAAGTCCCATTGTGGTCTCTAAGAAATTCAAAATGGATCCATTTAGTTAAAATCTTGATTCCTCACAAATTCAAAAAATACCCATATTAGTTCCTAAAATGACTAAAATGGGTCTATTTTGAATTTTATAGGGACCACGATGGGACCTTTTTATTTGCTAGGGACTAAAGCGGGCATCATGAAATTTTCTGAGGACCAAAAATGATATGTCATAAACAACTTTCGACACTTTCTGCACTCTTCTCCTTTCATTTTTTTTTCTTGAACTAGTGTCTCTTGATACTTTTTGGTTCGAGTCCGTTCACATAATAGGAGCTCAAGGAAATTATTTTGTGACCTGGCTGAAATAATTAGAGAGAGAAACAAAAAAAAGGACTAAAACATATGAGATTACACAATAGAATAAAAATTGTACTTTCGACAAAAAAAATAAGTTAAGGGTAAACGCCCTTTTTAATGATTTCTTTTAAAAAAGTTCTTCAATAATGCAATTTTTACATAGAATATTAATCCAATGCAGTAAGTCTTGCATGCTGCCACGTGTCTCACCGGTAAGGCTGGAGGTTCATTTTGAATAAAATTATCCATAATTTAATCGGGGCTTATTTCGTAAGACTAGTGCACACGCTCCCCGTGCGGGATTGCTTTGAAATCAGAATTTCTTTTCAAATATGCAACATATGACACTTATATTGTATGAATTTGGATTCTCTCATGTAGAAAGTAGTCATATGGTTATATTATTTGATACAATCACTTATTTAATAATTATACACTTTTTTTTCTGTTATCTTTTCATTAAGTGATTGTGATCAAATAACATGATTACATGATCATTTTTTCACATGAGAGGATCTAGATCCATGTTATATTGACACCGATACGGAACACGAGATATGATATGACACGATATTCCGACACGTTAAATTTAAAAAATGTTAGATTTTGACACGTTATGACATATTTTGATATTAAATAATAATTTCAATTTATGTACTATATATTATATTTAATATTCAATAATTTAATAAAAAAATAAATCTAAATTTATAATACCCATCAATTTTGTAAAGAAACATAAGATATCCCAAACATTTATATTAAATTCAATAAAATAGTTATTGTAAGAACCCTCACCGTTAATTAAGGAAATTAAGTAATTAATTATGTTAAATTAGGAAATGATTCCATAATTGACCCTAATAATTATTAAGAGGCTTTAATAATTATGTTAAATGATTAAGAATGCTGAAAGTCGCTTTTCGGAAGAAAAGTGCAGATACCGGTTCTGCTAGTCGGTATAAATGCGTACCGAAAAAGTATCCCGAAAAATTATAATAAGTGCATGATAATTACTAGAATAATATGTAGGACTTGTAAAACGAGTTTCAAGTCAAAATAATAAGAACTGGTGCCAGAAAATGATACTGGCTATGAAAAGCGCGTACCAGAAGAGTGCTCCGAAAATTATAAGAAAAATATGATAATTCTTGTAAAATTGAGTAGGTTAAGAATCCAAAGTTTGGGATTAAAATGCTATGCGTAGCAATTAAAGTTAATACTACGTGTTTAAGTGTGAGTGAGCTATAAATACTCTTATTATGGGCACAAAACCCTAGACTCCTTCATTCCTACGTGAGAGCGGCTGGTCAGCTTGTGTGTGTGCAATGTTCCATTGCCTTGTGCTCCATTTGGTGAGCTTTGAAGCTTCCTCTTCCACTTCTCTTCATCTATACACTTGGTGTGAGTGATAATCATCCTTGTGAGTGGGAAAGTGGCTTCTTTTCTGTGTAAGGAGGTCAGTTTGAGGGAGTGTTGGGTGCTGACTTTGGGTTGGAGAGTGAGTGAACCTTGTGTTTCTCATTTGGAGGTCCAAGGAGTCACCTTTAGTGAGGAAGAGCTTTGTTTGCTTCTCATTTTCGTGGTCTTTGAAGGTCTGAGTTTTGGAGCAGTTGAGAGAGCTCCAAGAGCATCTCCATTCTCTGTTTTGAGCTTGTGGTATGATCATCACCCTTTAACTTGAGTTCTTTGCTTAAAAATGGAACCTTGATGCATGTAAAGGTTAAAAGATGATAACTTAATGTTGGGAAATGCTTGACACACTTAGAAATGCCTGCTTAAGTGTCTAAAATCAGTAAAAACCCAACCTTGGAAGGATATCTTCGCGAAAATGCAGAAACTACATTCTGTCGCGAAATATCCAGATATTTTCCCGTGAGATATCCGGATATAGATATCCGGGTATTGATATCCGGATATGGGGATCTGGACATCCGGATATTGATATCCGGATATTTCCAGAGAGATATCCGGATATTGGATATCCGGATATCTCCCCGTGGAATATCCGGATATTCTGGGATTTCGAAGAACAGTAGCTGTGCTGTGAGGACAGTAGGCTATTGAGGGTTTGTGGACCCTAGAGTGATGAAGTTGAACTTCTGTAATTAATGAACTAAGTCAGAATCATGTGATTAAGGGCTTGTGGCTTTGTTAGAAGCCTTAAGACGTAAAACGTAAAGGAAAGGCGTTGTCTTAATATTGTATGCTTGCGGTGCATGTTTATTGATATATTATTGGTCCATAACAGATTGTGAATCTGCTGTGTTTGGACTTTGAGATTGTGGACTCTTGGCTTGGATAGCTAGCTTGCAAGATAAGCTTTCGTGTTCTCGGTTTAGCCATGTTGTGGTTCCACCATGTCCCATGGGGGTATGGTTATATGCATGCTGTGTCACATGCTTTTGATGTTTTGGAAATGCTATTGAGCTGTATATGCTAGTGCCTTTATGATATGCATGTGGTGCTCCACCTATACGGTAAGCCTGAGTATGTGGTACATACAACATGGTGAGGCTGTGGGTGAGGTGCAAGCGGTGTTCCTTGTACTACATGTGGGTGATAGACGTATTCCTGCATTTCTCTGGCCAGTAGAATAGTTTAAATACACATGGCATGAAATCTGTTGCACTGCATAGTTTTGGAACTAATATTGATATAAATGCTTTTAGAACTTATATTGCATATGTAAGTGAGCTTGGGGTGGAAGATCCTTGAGGACCCTTTGTCTTACTGAGATTTCTAGTTTAGAGATCTTACCCCACGTTTGGAGAATGCTTATTTCAGGATCAGGTAATGTGGGGGTTGAGACCCCAGGCGGCAGGAGGCCGGAGCTGAGTTAGATATCGATGATATTATATGCTGACTTGTTGGATGCTGGATATGCATGCTGCTTTTATGCTTTTAGCTTCTTTATGACTTTGGATTATTATGTTGAGGCTTGGCCGTTTATGCTGTTGATTTTGTGAGCATGGGGATTGTCCATGCCACGTAGACTTGTTATGTCTTGTTTCAATTAGAGTTGTATTAATGTATCAGGATATTGTCCGGATTACGTGATGTAATGTCGTGACTTAGATACTCACTTTATATTTATATATTGAGGTATTTCAATAGATGTCTTATTGCAATTTACATACATGCGATATTTTATGAAATTGATTAAGTAATCAACTTGGCTAAGTATAATGACGTCATAATTGGAAAAGAAAAAGATATTCCGCATTAATTTTTTAATTAAGCGCAACTTAATACGATAGTATGATAACATTATCGGGTATACACGGGGTGTTACAGTTATCGTAATCCAATGAATATAATAGTTGAAACTAAAAACGCAACGCAACCTTCGAACCTTTTTTTTGAGTTTCTACAACGCGTGTTGGAGTGTCGAAGTGTCGGAGAGCGTCAGATATGACACATCAGATTTTTTGAAGTGTCAATGCATCATAGTATGACAGTACTGAATGGGTGGAGTGTGAGACTTAGAACCTGTTTAGATCCTTTCTTTTTTAAGATAAAAGTTACTTTTAAGCTAAAGCTAAAAAGCAAAAGATAAAAGTTGTTTGATGATTATATAAAATTTTTAGCTTAAAAATTACTTAAAAGCTGTACATTGCAAAAAAAGCACATATTTCAAGAAAAACTAATAAGAGCTTAAAAAAGCTTCTCCTAGGAGCTTTTGATTTTTTT